TATGTATATATATATATACGTGTATATATATATATATTTCCAAATATGTGACCTACAAATGAGGGAGGGTGCACCTGCTCGACGGCAGACAGGCGCATCATCGTCAGCAGCTCCAACACCTCGCAGGCTTTGTGGGGCTTGGTTGGGTGCTATCCTTTGAAGATTCGGTTGGGTCTCTGTGGCCTAAAACCTAAAACCTAAACCTAAAACGGCTCTATACTGTTTGCCCTAAACCCTAAACTTTAAACCCTAAACCTAAAACGGCTCTATACTGGTTGCAAGCTTCTATACGGTTTTATATTCTAGATTTTGGGACGGCTCCGTGGGGGCCTCACAGGGAGGTTCTAGGAACCAACGAGGGTTCAAGGCCTGACGGCCACCAGGCTGATCGCTTCTGGCACCCCTAGGCCCCAGCATCTGATCCACAGCGCCCCTAAACCCTAAACACCCCAAAACCCCAAAAGCCCTAAACTCCTAAACCTAAATCTACCATAGGCTCTAAAACCCTAAACCTGCAGGAGTGTCAACACTCGGCTCGCAGCTTTGGGGCTCTGGGCTTGCGGACCGGTAGGGCTTAGGGTTTAGGGCCTAGGGCTTTGGGTTTAGGGCTTAGGGATTAGGGCTTAGAGTTTAGTTCTTAAGGCTTGGGGTTTAGGGTTTAGGGTCTCCAACTATGCCCAGGCTGAGGCAGAGCGTCTTCTGCTTCTGAGCGAAGCGTCGAAGCTGCAGGCGGCGTCTGCTGCGGCCGCCCAGAGGGCGGCCGCTTGGGAGGGAACCCTAGAAAGGAAGGCTTTGTAGGATCTAAGGGGCCTACCTGGACCCGAAAGAACCTACCTGTTTAGTAGGGCTCCTCATGATGATTTCCTTATATAAGTCCTCAAAAAAGGTAGGTTCTTGAGGGGCTGGGTAGGGTTTAGGGCTTATTCTCCGGATGTGTACTTGCCCTGGAAATCCCTTGACCGTCTTTAGTCCTTAGGGTCGGTTCGGGCTGAATTGGTTAAGCGAGACCTTCCCATGACTTTAAGGATTTAGGGTTTTGGGTTTTGGGCTTACGGGCTAATGTTTTATGGCTTTGGGGTTTGGGGGTTTAGGGCCCAGGGCGTTTGAGTTTTACGTCTTTATCTTTGAAGGCTTATAGATGGTTATAGGGTTTAGGGTTCAGGGTTGTGTTCAGTCAGACTGACGTGCTTGTGCCGTAGTGGCAATCGTGTCCCCTTTGGGTTGTCTAAACGAATTACAGCAGAGCTATAACTAAAGCATAAGCCCTGTTCTAATTAATCCCCTTCTTAAAAAACACCATAAGAAAAACCTTAGCACCCTAAACAATACTTGCAAAACCCTTTTCGAACCGTCGGGTTCTCTTGGATTACCGGAAAGCCCCATGCAACTTCAGACTATGACACATTATTCATGTAGGCATAAACCACAGTAGATGCTACGTAGATATTTCAAAGGGGCATGAAAATAAACACACTCTTTCACCCGAACCTATAAACCCATAAACTCTAACCTCTGAATCCCTGAGCCCTCAACCCCTGAACCCTGAGTCAAGCCCTAAACCCCCGGAGCCCTGAACCTCTGAACCCTAAACTCTAGCCCCCTTCGCCCTCAACGCTAAGCCCTAAACCCATTAGGGTTTAGGGTTTAGGCCAAACCCTAACCCCTTAGGCTCGCCTTTCCTGCAAGAACCAAGTGCCTGCGGCCAGTCTTTGCAACCGGAGATGGCACTGCTGAAGCCTTCGATTTGGGTTCTGTAGGGTTTAGGGTTTGGGGCTTAGGGTTTAGAGTTTAGGTTTACGGCTTCACTGTTTAGGGGTTAGCGTCTAGGGATTTTGGTGTAGAGACTGCATTGAGATCTTCCCCCAGAGGTTCATCAGCGTATAGTTCACCTCATTGCTAAGAATGAACGAAGGTTCAGACGACTTATGTAGAATTCCGAGCTCGTCGGGTGGAGGGCGACGGGTTTAAGAAGTAGGGTTTGGGTCCTAAACGGACGAAGAAGCCGCTTAAGACCCTCAAGCCCTTACAAGACGGCATTCAATGCCCACCGAACCAGAAGCGCCGTTTCGAACAAACTCTCAACCCTAAATAACCCTGAGCCCCAAACTTTGGCCCTAGGCCGTAAACCCCAAACCCTAAACCCCTAACCCTAAACCCCAAACTCCTTTACGAGTTTCCTCCTTCCTTAGGACTTGAGACCCCTCAAAGGAATCCCTGTTCGGGATCCCCCTCCAATCACGCAAGCAAAATACAAAGTAGAATAAACACATCATGGTGCAGTCGACCATAATAACAATCATACTGACAATACTAAGAACTCTATTGCGTATAATAACAACAACAATAGGTAGCAATACTACGACGACGACTACTACTTCCTACTCCTACGCCTTGTCCTATCCTACTACCACTGCCAGTTCCCTTTCACTGCCAATGATGATAATAACATTATTACTAGCAATCGTTAACAGCAAAAGTAGCATGTAGGATATAAATACCAATGATCATCAGAATCATGATGCTCATCGCCATACCCCGATATGGCAGTTTGACATGGAACCTCTGGTGAACTAGGAAAAGTTACCCGAGAACTGCTACACTGTGAGGCTTGATCAGGTTTGGGGACGAGGGTTTAGGGTTTAGGATATTTAGAGTTCTTGTGGGGTTTCGGGATCACGTTTAGGGACGAGGGTTTAGGGTTTAGGGACGAGGGCTCGAGGTATCGGAAAACCCTTCGGAGCACGGTATTTGAGACCAACAACTCACAGCTGCCTGCTGTTACCCTGCAGTTGATCAGAATATCGTCAGGATCGAAAACAACATATCTCTGCGTTCGCTGGCTGATTTCTGGGCTCAGGCATGTTAATATACGGGCCTCAATAATTAGAATAGGGTTTTGGGGCCCATAATACTATAATTATAATAATGAACCCCCAGAATAATATAGGGAATTACTCAGGCCCCTCCATTATAACCTTGCTTCTCACCCCTAACGACTCGCGACCCCTCCTTTGAAAATCCGCACAGGCAAACTCCTGTTCAAACGTTCAGGGTTTGGGTGTGCAACTGAAGGGATCTGTGGTAAGGGCTTTGGCTTTGGGACGTGTTCATGATCCAATTGCAAGAAGGTTGAAGGGAATAATTTAAAGTTTCAATGTTGCAAGTATACTGGGGCTGTAAGGTGACATTTACTACATATTCAAGCTCCCATTTCGAAACCATACCCGCACGTCTTACAAATTTCAGCCCTGAAGCACAACATCCTAGGGACGACCACTTGACCGTACGAATGAGCACAGGAGCTGATCACGTCTGGGTCCGGCATGTCCTCAGCACATTTGCGTTTGGGTTTTTGGGCTTTGGACTCGGGTTTTGAGACGAGAGTTGCTTAAATTAGTAGAGCAAGATTGCGTGGTAAGTACATTCATGTATACTTATGATAGAGACGAAACCGGGGTCATCATAAGAACATACTGCGAGTCTGCAGACATTGGGATTTGGGGTTTGGGGCTTATAAATGTCCTCACTTTGTGCGGAATCTTCGGGGCATGTGTCGATGTTCAAGTGCGCCGTCAACCCCAAACTCTCACCCTGAACCCTAAAACCCGAACCCTGAACCCTAAGCCCCTCATCCCCAAAAACCTAAATTCTGATCCCCGAACCCGAAACGCCAAAACCCCATCGCTTCTGGGTCGAAGGCCTTAGGTTGACGCTCCGGGATTTAGGGTTTAGGGGTTCAGGGTTCAGGGTTTAGGGGTTTGGGGATCTCGTGGTGAACCTTTGTCGCGGAGGGTCCAAACACGCAACGAACGGTTACTCGGCTTTGGGGTGGCAGGTGCTGTAGGTCAGAATGCAGAGTAGCATACTCTGGCTCTAGTAAACCTAAAATCTCTAACAACCTAAGTGTACGTTCTAGGATCGAAACCCACACGCCCTATGGGTGGTTCTCTGAATTAGGATCCTTTTGTTAAACCCCCTAAATAGTACAATTGGACCCTGAAAGGGACCTTAATTCAGAGACCCCTAAACCCTAAACCCTGAACCCCCGAACCTGGAAATTCTCGCATCGCGACACCATGCCCCCACTCAACCACAGGGTCCTGTTTAGGGTTTAGGGTTTAGGGTTTAGGGCTTGTAAGTACCTACATAACAGTAGAAAGTAGGGGCGTCTATCCTAGGAAATACTATTCATGGTTTGGGTGGGTATCCCTGTTTCAGGTACTTTTTCCGAGGCACACGTAGAAGTTCCAAAGAGTAGGGCCAGGCCTGCAAGAACGAATCTACCTCAACCGCCCAAAGCCTACTTGTTTGTAGGCTCCAAGAGTAGCACGAGGCCAGTATGAACGAATATACCCACCTTGATAATGAGAATACGGCTTCATGTACGTAAAAAAGATATGGAAAGACACACGATGCTGTCAACAGTTGTGAGCATTGGGGATTTGCGGTTTAGGGCTTCGGGCGTTCAGGGTTTACTTCTGGTTTCGAGCGGAACTATGCACAGTTGGCGGCCGACTCTTACTTCACTTCGCCGAAGAAGAACCTTGCACAAAGCCTGGTTTAGGTTAAGGCTCAGGGCTTACATCACATCAGGGTATTTGGAAAAGAAACTGACAGAACATTAGAACATGGAGGGTATTTGAAAAGAGCGCCTTGCTCAAAGGGGTGTTCAGATCAGGACATTTCGGTGTTTTCTTGTGGTGCTAGTTAGAAACAAAAGCTCTGCTTGAGATCAGAACTGTCAACTGTTAACTAGTAGTACTTTAACCGGGGGTGGAAGTAATGAACCCACAAAGCCCTTCGAAACCCTAGGCACATGGACCCTAGGGTGAAAGCATGTGACACCGTCCATAACCCCTAAACCCATAAACCATCGTCCCACAAACGCTTAAACCTCACAGCCTGACAGGTCCATAGCCTAAACCTTAAACCCCTAAACC